GGAAGCGCGTGGAACACACGCACCGCCGGAACGCGTCGTCTACCGAGATAGGGACCGTGTCGATGAGGGTGGGGCCACCGGCTGCGGCTGCGGTGTCGTCGCGGGGCGGCAGCGCGGGGTTGAAGAAGTCCCGGTCGGTGGCGGCTTCGTACTCGTTCGCTCCTCCGCCGCCGAAGGCGATCAGCCGCCGGGTTGACGTGGTCGTCCGCGGCGGCGGCGGTGGTGGGGAGAAGGTGTTTAGTGATTATTATTATGGTAATAACAACGGGAGCGGCGGCGGCAGAGGAGGGAGTGATTATAATGGGTACGGATCAGGAGGGAAGAAGAAGAAAGGGTTCTGGACGAAGCTGCTGCACCTGCACCTCAAGGGGAAGAACAAGGAGGCGCTGATGCATCATCATCGTCCTGCCATGGAGGGAAGAGTCTGTTGATCTTTCTTCCTTCATATCTCTCATAAAAATAATTATGGGCTCGATCGATCGATCGATCGTTTTCCAACTGGTTTGCGTAGTAGTAATTAATTGATTCAACAATACTTGTTATTTTACTGTCTCAAATTTTTAGTAATAATCGAATTATGATGCTTCTCAATCTAATTGTGTCCGTCTGTGTAAATATTTGTGCTTTCCCATGTTCTGTTTGAACATCTTTTAGGTTGATTGTTGAATTTGGTGGCATTGGGAAAGGGGCTCTCATCATCCCTTTGCTTTTCTGTATCTATACACACTATATCATCTTCGTGATTCAGACAACTTGGGTTTGGAAATTCAATTTTCTTTTATTGCTTTTTATGATGTCACTCAAACATATCTTCAACCTATTTTGATCAAGAGATATCGTTCCCTTTGGTATCTAGATGCGTTGAGCAAGTTTAATTCATACTTCTTACAAAAACTCCTAAAATTCATCCAAAACATTTTTTTTAAAGGTAAAGCCGGACTTCTTACTTATAAAATCATGGATCTCTCCCCGTATCTGTAGAATTTGCCTAGAAGGTTACGATATATAACTATATAGCAAATGATAGGCAAAAAATTTGTCAATTTCAATACGAAAAAAAGGATGATATCAAAGTGAGTGATTATTGGTCAATAGTTATGAATGGTTTAGTAGGAATTGTTAATATTACCAGATTTGTGTAGGGGTGCAGTTTGATCAGTAGATTGAGTGTGAGGTTAATGTTTAATCCAAATAAGTTCCAAGCAAGCGAATGAATGAAGAAACAGGAAAGAAGCTGTGCCTAGCTAGCTAGCTTGCAAGTCAACTAGAAGACAAGAGGAGAGTTTTCCTTGGCAAATGTTGGTGGTCCAATTCTTTGACTTGAGGGTTGCGGGCGGCTAATACTAATACAAAATCTCGTCCCGTCCATTCAATCCCCACACGTTCGCTGTCTTTCCCTTTGGCCTTTTCTTTCTAGGCAGCAATTTGGGGTTCCTAATAAAATAAAAGAAAAGAAAAGAATGTCACATCTTCCCATTCTCACCACCCGTGCGGAACTCGGAGGGATCGGTTTAGGATAGGGTGCATGATGCACATTTACTGGATGAGAATATATGGGGTTTCTTATTTTCTATAGCTTTCTTAATCGATTTATATTTTCATCCTTTTGATTCGAATTTCCAATTTTTTTTTACTGATAGAATGGGTTCGTTGTAGTACACAAAATGATATGTATTTTCGATGTTCATATCACTCTTTACCGCTTTGGTACCACCTTCGTTTTTAACTCGAATTTTGAATAATTTTGTTCAGAAGGAACGAGTTCATCGTGATCTGTTGGGTCTATCAATTTTGGGAGGAAAAAATTCCAGGACCAAATATACCACCATGGTATAGGGTGGTAATTGGTGGTAGACGATGATGAAATATGGTAAATGACAATTAGTATATCCCTACTATCATCATGTATAGAATCATTCTACACTATTGTATATTCATACCACAAAGGAACATTTCCATATCACGTTGTATAATCATATGTGCATATATACCAAGTAGTACCACATGGTATGGACTGGTAATAAAAGTTTCATTATTTTGCTCCAAAATATATCAAAGTGGATTTCATTGTCAAGAGCACAATTAATTTGATTTTTCTATGTAAAATATTTTTCATTTCAACTTAACATGAAAGAGATATAGCTCGTTAAAATTTATTGGGAAATTAGAAGTTTTCCATAAATGGTAAGAAGTATAGGGTTATGCACTCGTAAGTTATGCACTATATCCCTCCCCGGAGGGACCATTTGGGATATGGAAATTAGATGGATGGCCTACATGCTAGATTTATAGTAATTATTAGAAGTGATAATTTTGTATCTAATCCACCAATTAGGGGTGAGCATTGGGTGGGTCGGGTGGATTTTGACCATAAAATGCACCCACCCGCGCTTAAACGGATTGATAATTTTTAACCCACCACCCACCCACATTTAGTCTCGGGTTGGGTCGGGCGGATGGTGGATGATACGGGTGGGTTTGTGGGTTCACCCACATCACAATGTATATAATATAAAGGTGTCAACTTGACATGATAATAGGTGAAGAGAATCATCGAGGGAAATAAGAAGTTGAAATAGGGCGAAAAATGTCGAATTAGTTCTTAAATTGGATAGAAATTCTATTATGAAAGAGTTTTCTACATATTGAGATGATTATTAGGTGCAAGGAACTAAGGAAAATAATTCCACAAAGGAAAGAGCGGTGATCTAGGCACAAGAATTAGAGGAAAAAGTAAAGGAAAGAAGAGGGGATCTCTATTTGGAAGGTTGGCTTTGAGGTTCAAACTCCAGGAGCAGTACGAGTTTATATCTAACGTCTCCACTCTCCTCTCTCTAGTGGCAACGACTTTAATCTTTTTGCTGTTGGGTTGAGTGGGTCACCCGCACACTCACCCACAACCAACCCACCACCCGGCGGATGGCTCCCAGCGCAACCCGTAACCCACCCACAGACCCACCCACTTAACGAAATTCGGGTCAAATGCGGGTGGGTCGGCCCAAACCCGCGGATGATCCGCTCGCATGCCCAGCCCTACCACCAATCCAATCCATTCACTTAAATATCAACTGTTCCAATTTATTTAAATCATGTTCACTATATCCAAATTAAATTGTATTGGTTTATTAAAAATTCAATTAGATTTGTGGATTCATGTATGGGTGACAAATTCCAGGTTAGCACCTATATTTTTATATTTTACAATGTGATACCTAATAACAGAAATTAGCATTGAAAAATTAGGTTTTGGTACATGCACTTTTTTATTATGACATTATACTACCAAAAATTATGTTTTCGTACCTGCACATTATATTACATATTGGTTCATGATCCAATCCACCAATCATGTTATCCAATTCACAAATTCATTAATCTCAATCCCTAATATTTTTTTTCTTTATCAGTATATACCATATATCAAATTATTTCTCTTCAAAATTATAAATCAAATATACTAACGCAAATACTTCTCTCCGAGTAGCTCCACAAACCATTTTTATAAAACAAATAATGGTGTCAACACTCACGAAAAATAAATGGGCAAAAATCTCAAGTATAATAATAACAAACTAAATAAAAATGTAGTGCCTAAGAAGTACATTAACAAACTAAATCTATAAACTGAAACAAGGGATGACTAAACAACTCATAAACATACTACAGGTAATAAAATGAGAGAGTTGTCAGATGGTGAGGGAATGAGTTATATGTATATAATTAAATGATCATCTTGTATTGCTTAGGAGTGTTCAAACGGTGTGGTTACCATGGTAACCGTTTTAACCAGTACTATTTGGATAATTTGGATAATTGGTTTGGTTTGGTTGAAGTTCTTAGCTTGCTTGGTTTAGGTGGTTTGGTTTGGTTTCAGACACTCCTAACCAGCCAAACCAAATTAACTAGATAAATAATTAGCCATATATCTCATATATACACATACTTAATACTTTGAATAGCCACTCAAGAATTAAACGTTCATCCCTTTTAGACTCATAAAATATAAAGTTTGATATTGTTCCTATAATGTATATTTGTATATGTAGAGTGTAGACCACAACATATGAACGCCTAATTTAGATAAATCTCATACATTATGTTGGATGAAAACTTGAAAGCAAGGTCCTTTTCAGCCAATGAAAATTGCTAAAAGCCTAAGTCAATTCAAATAAACATAACAATTCATTAACCCATACCATTGTGATAAATTTTTGTTAGGTGAATACTTCTATACTAACCGTAAGATAATTGTCTTAGTTGCATGTATTTATGTTAAGGGCCAACTATAACTATGTGTTGATTGTTATGTTTTATTCATTATATAAATTCTGAATTGATAAATTAACCGGAAATTTTCTCAGTTAATGATAATGTAATTTTATATTGGTTAATCTGGTTAACCAATTAACCAAACCGATTAAACTTTAGTTTGGTTAATTTGGTTGTTGTATTAGTTTAGACGGTTTGGTTATGATATTGTATTCCATGATTAATAAATATTTGGTTTGGTAATAACCATGATAACCATTTGAATGCCCCTAGTATTGCTGAGATGGGATAGTAGTGAGTGGGAGAATCTAACCGGAAGGGATGAAATACATACTAGCTTATATTTTGGTATTAGTCGGTGTTTCGATATATACACATCTCAATCATGTAATTTCTAAACCAAATAACACTTGAAATTGGATCCAATCTCATGAACTAATATGTATATATAGGTTATCTCGTCAAATTAATTATGTGTTGGGACCAATTTGCAACAACTTATCCTAACCGGGTTCTTAACAATTTCTGTCAGCCGTAAACCTTAACGTGGTTCCAGTTACAAGGAAAGCTGGCCTATAAGTTTAAACCTTTTGTGATTCACGGTTGACCGAACCGTTTTACCAGACACATTCGTACACTAGACATTATCATATGTGCAGCAGCGGGACTAGGAGAAGCTTAATGATAAACGAAAAGAGGCTTCCAGTCCATTCGAGATTCTATGAAAAAGGATGGCCATGGCAATATGTGGAATGTTAGACGTCAAGAAATGGAGAACTATATGCTCTACTATGCATGGGAGGTATATCTATCGAGTTCAGACTCTGGCAGACAACACAATCTTTGTTAACATTTGCTGCAATAACATAATACAACTGTATATAACGTTCGCCACGTCCCTGTTTCCAAAGGCCATCGCTCTGGTCTGGCAATCACACCCCAAAACTTGGCTCTGCCTTGTACACCAAATTCAATTCAACAATGGTGCCCTGCTGAAAAGCAAATTCCTATATCCTATTTCTGCAGCTTCTTTCTCTACCAATTTTTCCCCCCGGCTTCCGGGGACACAGATATTCAGCCACCATACAGCCTACAGGGGCACATCAGTGTGAAAGGAAAAACAATTTGTGTATTAGTTTTGATGAGTCACCTTTTTATCTGTACACAGAATATTGGTTGCTACAGCGAATTCGGCTTCCATCGATTTCGCAATCATTTGGTGGCATCATCATCGTCACTCAGACTTCCAGGATCATTAATGGATGGTTGTTTTAGTCTCTGGAATATCTCGTCGAGGCTCTCGTGCGAGGAATCGTGGGAGATGATGGGCTTTGAAGGTTCCAGCGTCTGCCTTAAAGGAATAAACCTCTTCGCCTCTATATTTGCTTTGAAGGTTTGAAACCCATTCTTCATCGACTCCCACCTAGCAGTCAGGCCAGATGAAGATGACGACATCCCCCCTCGAGTTGTGTTGTCGGAATCTGAGTTGCCTGCATCAAGCAATGACACCTTAGCGGAAGCTATGTTCTTCTCCACCGGCCTCAGGTTGGAAAGTCTACTCTGCTGTCTAACCGCAGCATACTTACTGCTAAGAGCTTCTCTGCTCGGATTGGCTCGACGAGTCTCTTCCTTTGAAACTCTACTTGACGAACTTCCCGCTTTCTCATCGGATATCAAATTGCTTGTAGACTTCATCTCCACCGTTGTCTTATCCTGCAGTTTTTTTCACTTCCCAAAGTTAAAATACCAAAAAAAAAAAAAAAAAGTAGCTGCAGTGCAGAAATTCTGATCAGATGGATCTTAGAAAAAAACAATGGGCGTCTGTTCTCTTGCAAAAAAAAAAAAAAAACTGAATTGTTTTAAGTTTTAGTAGAACTGTAGAAGTGACAAAAATATGTGTTTGGTTGGGTTTTGAAACTTAGTTTACGGGATCGTGTTAAGTCTTTTTTTTTTTTTTTCTTTTTCGAGTTAAACAAAGTTAAACTGATATATGAGCATGAAGCACGAATAACATCTGAGTTAAGTTGGTCACCATATTGTTGCTGGCAGACTCAACATCCACACCGTTAAAGTTTCTCGCTAGAGGGATAACATGCTCACCGACTCTCTGTCCTTGTTCTAGCCATATTCTTTCTGCAAGAACTCAAGACTGTCAGTTTCTAAAGATACAGTCAAAAAGATATAGGAAAGATTGAGTTGGGTTCTTAATTCTCTAAAAGAGTGACATATCAGCACTCACCCTTCTGAAGGATAATTAGCCCCGAAGGATCAAAGCCATCTGTATCATCTACCTCTGTTTGAAACCTAAACCTCTTCCAATTCCCAAAGAAACCTAGTAAACGGTCGAAAAAATTGCTTGCGACCAGCAGAGTGTAGAGAACCATGAAAAGTGGATAGATTCTGTTGAAGCTGACTCCAAAAAAGGGAACAGCATCATTAATCTTCCCCATTCTCTGCAATCATATCGTGGCACTAGACCAATGTTAGTATGTACGTAAAGCTTAAGTACAAAGTGATAAAGAGCTGAGGTATCACTCTTCTATAGGCATACAAAGATCATAAAGCTCATTAAGAAGGCTCTAGCTGGAGAAGATTAAAAGGACTATGAACTAAGATTTTTAGTTAGACAACTTATCACAGCAAGCAGAAAAGTTTACTATGATTCATGAATTTTAAAAAAGTAACCATGTTCGAGAAGCAAGGAACCAGCTATCGAAGGTACAGTGCAAAATTTCAGCCAATTGTATCATAAAAAATACCTTTGTGGTTCAATTAGCAAAGTTCAAAACAAGACTCCTAATCTTCTCCGAATAAAAGGTAAATTATACAACAATCCCACTAGTGTCATTCGACTTTCAGCAAGCTTAAGATACTCGTCAACTTTTATAGGAATGGACAATGAGCATTTACCTGTTCAAATATGGTATCCTTATCACCAAGATTAATGAGGTTAAGATAGTTGTATGAAATTGGAGGAGCATATCGAGCAACCATCCTGACGAATGTGTAGATTGAAACAATTAGATACATAAGAAAATCAAAGAACTACTCAATTTCAAAAGAACATCTGGAGAATTGGACAGCATAAACTAGTATAGGTTTGAGAAACACTCACGAGCATATCATAAGCAAGCTCACTGAACTTGTTTGCCTGGGAGTTAGTGAGTAGAACATCAACATTCCAACTTTGAATAATGAATAATATGTGCAGATGCACATATACATCAAAGGCACAAGAACTGAGACCTGGACAAAAGTTGAACAAAGTAACATAAGAACCAGTTTTGTAGAACTGAACCTCCATAGCCACCTTAATGTAGTTTATCAAAGCAAAAAAAAAAAAAAGTGTACCTGTACAAAGAGTTCTTGTCGTCCTACAGATTTGATAAGAAGAGAAAAAAGTGACAAATCAACACCAGTGATTACAAGTGTTGCCTCAGCTAAGAGAATTGCAGCTGACATGGTGCCAAGTATAATAGCCAAGAGCTTCTCAAGTTGCTTCCTCAGGATGCATCTCCAAAGAAATTCTGGATTCATATAAACATGAAACATAAAAATACTTAATGAAACCAAAATCAAGCATAAGGGTATCCATTCAGGAACTTTGCTTTGGGCATCGAACTCCGAATGAAGTACCCAGCAAGGGTGAAACCTACAGTGTGAAGAGTGCCTAGAATCGACATGACTAATATAAGTAACTTTGTAGAAGTTTCCAAGACACTGCTTTATAAGAACTTATTCCACCAGGAGCTTGATGTTGGTTAGTACTACGAGTTGCCATAAAATTTTACCCTAACTCCATTAGGAGTACTGAAATTAGTTGGCTGGGCATGGATAGTTACAGGCGATGAATGTGTCTACGGCATGAATGAGAAATAGCTAATCCTAGGGGAAAACAAAGATAGCTTTCCTCAATGTGAATTTGACACTGATAGTTCTGCAAGCCAAGAAATGTCACAGCAAACTGCTGCAGTACAACTCCCTAAATCAATTGCAACTCCATGTACGTCGCTGGTAGGATTATCATGGACTATCCTCATCCACAGTCTCATCCACAGTAGAAACCAATTTCATCATAACTAAATAGGAGATTAAAACATGTTAAGGACCTCTAATCCCCAATTGAGAACACTATGTTAGTATTTTCTTCCAGCAAATTCATATGCCAACTCAAATTCTTTGCCACCTTTATTTCAGTTATCTGGTGGAGTAAGTCAAAACCTAAATGACAATAGTACATGCAAAAGTGGTACTGACCAAGGGTATCCACCAGTGAACCCAGTTTCCCACTTCTAGCAGGTCTGAAGCTGGACATGTATTTCCTGGTAATTCATCCATGGGATTTTAGAGAAAGAAACTCGAAATTGATTATTGGAGAATTCCTCAAGTAAAGAACTTAAGGTCATAAAAGAAGCCCACCATCCAGTTGAATTTCTCCGTTCATAGTTTTTAATTGTATCTTCGAGTTCAAGGGCTTCCAAGACAAACGTCATGTATTCACTACAAAACAAAAAGAATTAGATTCTTACAGTACACCACTAAGCAAATAAATCCAACTGGATTCAAAAGTTAACTCTACATTTAGGATCTAAATTTCAACAGTAAATCAACTACCCAATTCTTGGGACGTATCAAAGTAAGTTAGCAAGAAACCGTTAAGCTGTTTCGTAAGAATAGTAGGGGTCTTCAATCTTTACCTTGTATGAAGATTTTTTTTATCATTGAGCAAGTAAATTACCAAGAATATTCAACATTTTAGTTATTTAGAAATCCTACAAAGATTAGCATGTTTTGCAGTAAAGGTGATGACAAGATTCTCTTGAAACTCTCGAGAGCTTTTCCTTGGCAAGATTCCATCTTGTTCTGGCTTATCCACTCTAGGTTGCTGATGCTTATCTCAGAGCTGAAGACCAACCTATTGTTCCAGATTCCTCTAACCACTAAATTCATCCCCTTCTGATTTTCACAGAACTAAAACTAAAATTTCCCTTCTAGAACTCAGTTGGGATAATTGGTGGAGAACACAAATGCCTCGTAAACACATTAAAGCACCTCTTAGTCAAATGCATCTTTTACCGTGCATTCAAGATACCTTTTGTAGCGATAGTATGCATCTCGGGCTCGTCGAAGATGACGCCTGAGTGTTGCCATTGATTTCTCATCTGTATCATAGTCCATATCATTTTCCCCCAGTTGACCACCTTGAGGTTTAAAAGATGGATCTTGCCTAAACTGCAACAGAATAATGATATCAGGAATAAATCACAGCACATACCATATCAAGAGACAGAAAATGAGGATAAAATATACCAGTTGAGCCAGCATATTGTCAATGACATCCATGTAGGGTCTCAAAGGATCACGCTTGGACATCTGATTTGATGTCGCTTGAGCGACCTAAAACAGGAGATGTGAATCAAACGAAACGAATACAACTTGTTCGTAGCAATTGAGAGCAGACCTTTTGAAAACTTATTAAGTAAAAAAGGAAAATCCTATAACAATTTACTTCCTTTTAGATAGTTTATGAAAGGGTAACCATCTAACAACAATTGTTGCACAACAAGTATTTAATACGTCTTGTTTTTGTTGTTTGCCAGGACTAGGACTTCAAGACAAACATGAATTGCCATTGGAGATTGGTTGATATGCAGCTGAGAGATCAACAGTGGAAAACCCTCTAAATTGCTGACTATAATGAAGCAAAAGAATGACTGGCAACAGTATCATAAGACTTTAGTACTCAATTCTTGAATAATAAGACATAGGAATGCATCTTTTGTACAGTTTTCCACAAGGATGAATACTCACCACAATGGCATTGGAGAATTCCTGATGGGCATCATCAAGTTTCACAGCCATTTTTGCAATCTTGTGAGAAAGAACCTTTTGTCGTATAGTCCAATCTGCATTTCTCCATAGAGTCTTTGGAATCTCACTCAAACCAAAACCAAGAAGAAATGCACCTGTCACAAGTCCAAAAGTATTTGAGCACGCCATAGCAAAACCAAGCACACCATTAGTCCTGCCAATGAGAAACCAATAAGAAATGAGCACTTGAAACAAAAGCATACTGCATGCTTATACAAATAGAGATTCAATCCCAGTTACGACCACAAAAATATTAAATATAGCAAAACTTTTCAGGATGAGTTTCTAGGAAACGAGCTCGAAGGAAAGAATGGGAAGAAAGGTACCTTATCTTGTGCATCATTATCAGAAGAATAAGTCCGAAAAGGCCAACAGAACCGACAATCAGATAGAAGATTAAGTTAGCATGTATGCTAGTCTTCAACCTTTCAGTCACAGTAAAGTCCCCAGCATCTTCAAAACCTTGAATAAGGGGCACCATACCCCTGTTTAGAAATTAAAAAGAAAACAGCTTGTGAGGAATTTTCATCTCAGGACAAGGAAATGTTGAAAAGGGACCAATATCATCAAATGCCTCGCTAGTTTCTTATACATACAATAGGATAACACTTCAGAAGGGCTCAGAATAATCTGATAATGAGTAAGTCTGTTCCAAGTACAACAGTTACATGATTACATAAGCTTACTTACATGAGAAGTCACACTCAGAATGCTAATAGTGAGAGATATTTATTGGCTTAATCAGATACATTCTAGTCAAATACGTATAGAGAAGTAGGAGAACTGAATACAAAGCCAGGCGGAAGTAGGATGCTATAACTTCTTTACGCGGAAGTAGGATGCTATAACTTCTTTAAGCAATTCCAACATCACTAGTATGGTAAAATGCATTAAACGGAAACTGGGGGATTCAACATACCAAGTAAGTAAAAAAGTACTCCAGTATGACCAGCTCCAGAGGAAAGAAATTGCGCCACTTTCAAACGAAAACATGGTCTGCAAAATGTACCAAAAGAATTGGGCATGTTAACAACGCCAAAGTCAATCAAATCAGCAAACAGAAAATGCTTCAATCCATCACTTAGACCACATGCTGACCCTCTTGAACAGAATCGAGTTGCCAAATTGAGATAAAAACATATAGGTTCACCAAGGATCAAACACCATCTCCTCCCAAGGAATAGAAGACATTCGACCCCAGTAAAAGATCCTAATCGTTCTCTCTCAAATTTCAGCTAGAGTAGAATGTTTAGAGCAGCTGATCTCAATTGAATTCCAAATTCAAGGGCAAACAAAAGAGGCAGAACTTCATAGATGATCCAAATGACGAATCGCATAGAAAAGAAACATGCAAAGAGAGAATCACCGTCCAGATATCGGCGGGAACGAGGATGATGATGGAGAGGGAGCAAAACCAGGTGTAACCGACAGTGAAGAGAACGTAACGCGGCACCTCCGGCCCGGCGAAGTATCTCAACGTAGAGACGACCATACCAAGGGTTAGAGGCAACGAGATCAGGTAAAAGACCCACATCTTTCCCTTCCTTTATTCGAATTTCGTGCTTGCGGGTGCTCCCTGCTTCTCGACCGCAAAGAGACGGGGGAGAGAATCGGAGAGGCCACAGGAAACCGGATCCGGGGAAGGCAACGGCCGTCGAAGAAAATATATTCCGGCTCGTTTGATTAAGCCTTCAGGCTAGTTCTCGTGTGGCTCCTCCATATCCAGAGAGTCTCCGAGTTCGTACGTCTTCTCTTTTTTTGTGTTATTGCCAAGGAAGGGTTCGGTGTCTTCTTTCCTCGTTTTCACTTCTGAAAATTTGGAGAGGAGGAAGACGGACAGAATCCGATGGTGAATGGCCAACAACAAACGACGACGTGACAATGAAATAGTCAAGGGTTCGTTTCCAGGGTTAAATGCACTTGGTGCCACTTGCGCTTATCACTAGGGAAGGCAATGGGGCGGGTTTGGGGCGGGTTTGCCTAAACCATCCCCATCCTCATCTTTAAATACCCAAACCCATACCCGCCCCATACCCATGCGGGGTAATGTTTTGCAAACCCATCCCCATACCCGTGGGTTTCGGGTACCCATGGGTAATACCCATCCCCGTACATCCAACATTATTATACCTAAAACTTACAAGAAAAGTTTTAATTATAACCATAAACAAACCTATTATATCACGAAGTCAACAAAACACGGTCATTTTCTAAATACGATTCAAAGAATATGATCCTAAAACATCCATTAATACATAATATAGACTATAATATTTTTTAAATTATTATGCTCTAACTCTTGATACATTTACTAAGTAATAATTAACTAACATAATTTTGTTGACAAGGGGGAAAGTGAAAGAGTGGAAGGAGAATTGAGGGAAATGAATTAGGTTTTGATTAAGGTGGTTACTCAATTGCATTTCTACTATTTATTTTCTCGAGTTATCATCATCATCATTGATATATTACAATTTAATCCACGTATTTTTTGATATGTGAAGAAATTCTCTTGGTGGGGCGGGTATGGGTATGGGTATGGGTATGGGGCGGGGGAGGCTAAAACCATACCCGCCCCATACCCATCAAACCTTTTGCGGGTTTTACCCATACCCGCCCCATACCCGGTCAAAGCGGGGATTCCCCGCGTTGACTGGGTATGGGGCGGTCGGGTACCCGCGGCCATGGGTTTGATTGCCATCCCTACTTATCACTTAATCATATTTTGTTTCAACTAAATCCTTTACTTCGTGTACCGGTAGCAATGTTACATTTTCCGTCCGCAGATGTAACGGTAAGTATCTACAAGGTAATTTGCCAGATCAAATCCTGTGCCCACTAACATGCAAAGAAATTGTTGGGCGGCAATAAGGAGTGATCAGACGACTTCTCGCCTTCCTCCTACCTATTTTGTACAAGAATTTCGATACAGAAAAAAGAAAAGTTCTTCCTCCTCTCTACTCTGCACAAGACGATCATGAGACGTCGACAGGGGGTCCGGATGAACAAGGAGATCGTGTGAAGTCAGGAGACTAAACACCATAGCTTCCATTGTTTCTGGTAAAAGAACACTCACATGCAACTACAATTTCTTTGCTCTCCCTCTAAAATGTAGATTCTGATTGGTTTCGTCATGTTGTTAGGGATTTGGGGCGATAGATTGACGAAGATAGTTTGTTGATGGCTTGAAATAGGTTAGTGAATTTGGGGTTTGTATATACTGAAGTGATGCTATGTTCTTTGGCAAAATCTTGGGTTCGGTACTGTTGACGAAGAAGGGAGGAAGTTGATGGCTTGTTGTACCAGGCTAGGCTAGAAGCACACACATACAAACAAACATTTACACACAAACATAATGGAACCCCCCCCCCCTCCCCATCCCACATACACACTTAAGCACGAATTTGTCCTCAATGGAGAAAAGATGAGGAGGGTAGAACGAAGTTACCAGATCAAGTGTGAATGTTGGTGGACGGGGTAGGCGGTGCATTCCAGGAGGAGAGAGTAGTCGAAACACAAACACCACACAAAATCTCACAAAGGTTGAGTTATTGACTCTAAAATCAAAGAACAAAACTAACTCAATCGAAGAGAAATAGGGAAAGAAATGCAAATCGACTGGTTGGGTTGCCTCCCAACAAGCGTTTTTTTCACGTTGTGAGTCGGATGGTGGCTCTTAAGCTCCAGTCCACCCCAAAACCTCTTTGAAGTTGAGGTTCTCATTGATGAGGTGGAGTCTCAAGTCACGAGCATATGGTATGACAGGTGATGCAGGCTCGTGCACTTGATGTAGAGGAAGTCTCCACCCTCGAGACCTCTTCTTCTCTTTGCAAATGGGTCTTTGCCAAGCAGCTCCTCGAAATTTTTCGAGATATCACGTGTAACTCATGGGCGGTGCAAGTCTCTTCCACCTCAACTTCGCCCTCCGTCTAGACGCCTATTGCATCTTCAACCCCCCCCCCCTTTCTTCCTTAGAATTTGATTCTTCCCCTTGGAAAAGATCAAGAACTTCCTCTGATTGACTGTCGTCATACTTCACAACTTCTTTCCTCATCCTTTCTTGCTCTTCTTCTTCTAGCACAGGTTGGAGAGCAAGTCGCCATGCAATTTTTTCAATAAAATCAGCTTGCAACTCCTCTCTCATGCTCGCGTCTTCAACGCTCAATATGGGATGTGGAAGGTATGGTCGGCTGCAACAGGACATTTCTGATCATGATCATTACGGGAGCTCTCTGTGACAACTTCTGTCTGCTCCCCAATGTCCTTGTAGCCTTCTTCGTCCTCCTCCTCTTCTTGTATAGAAGCAGAAAGCGATCTTGAGCAAGCTGTCCACAAACTTGCTAAACCTACTTTGTTTGCTTCGCTGAGCGCTGAATAGCCTCCTCCGCTTCACGGAGAAATGAAGAGCCAGAAGGGGCAATGGTTTGGATTAAGAGGTCCATCTTGGACAAGGATCTCTTAGTGTCTTGAGCAAACTGCTCCACGAGTAACCTCAATTGATAGTTTGGATCTGGCTGTGGACTATAGTATGGCTCTGTATAATGGCTCGTGAAGGCCGCCATAGCTAACTCCAGCTTCGATGGCCCTTCTGGTTTTGGGTGGATTTCTTCTTGATAAGGATATTGTTCTTGAAATGTCGAGGGGTCTGATTGTACTTCGTAAAAAGGGGGTTGATACTGAAACCTGAATCCATAGTCTTCTCTTCCTTGATTGCTCCAGGAAGTCTTGGGGTAATACCACTCGCGTGGTGGTGGATACCCCCAATGGTTGGAGAAGCTATGAGGATCCATGTTTCAATTCTGCACCAACAAAAACGAAACACCCAAGTGAAAAGCAAGGGTGGAGAAGAAAACAAAAGAAAAAAAATCTAAATTAACAAACTTATGCCTTTCCTAATAATCTAGAAAGTCCCTGGCAGCGGCGCCAAAAACTTGACTTGCTAAAACACAACTCCTAACAAAGGCCAAGTGTAATCAGTGAAAGGGACTGCTAACATAGTGGATCAAGTAATTAATATTGAATCCATGGGTCTCTATAGTTACTATTACTCAGCTTCGATTCATTATCTAGCAAACCAGATTAAGATGGAAGAACTAAAACTGCTGTAGCAAACTATAGTTAAAGTTAATCTAATTACAGGTTGGGAACTCACTTAGGTACGATTCCCCCCCAGCCACTAGCCAGATTAATGGTTGATGATCTCTAACCAGTTTCACTTTCATTCACAATGCGGAGAATCCTTGACTAGACCTTGAATCTCGACTAAAGAAATCAAGGCCCTCTAGAACCGATTGCCTAGAGGGACGTATCCTTCTCTAGAACAACCGTTCAAGGCATTCTGAACTAGACTCCCTCTATCGAATGAGGTTCTCAATCGATACAAAGTAGTGAATCGATCCTCGACTAAAGAAATCGATCCAATACTATCAATCTATGGTGCTCTATTGACCTAATCAGGTATTCGCTCTCATAAGACCAAAGCAGAATCAATAATCTCGACTAAAGCAGAATTGAATCATTAAAACATGCATAGATTGAATATGAACTCAGTATTATCAAGTAGGAGTACTCATATAATCATCCAATCAAACAAACATGGGTAGGGTTCCTCATAACCTAAGTGAAGGGAAGTTACTCCATAGAGAAGAGAGAGAATGCAGAAATATGATCTAGATCTTCAATCTCCATCTCCAATCTTGATTCCCGAGCTCCAATGGTGAAGAAATCCTCCAAAATAGCTCAAAGAATGATATCAAGGTGCTCTCTCTCTAGGTTCGTCCCTTGGGTGTTTGGGATCCAAAAAAACAGCTCTCCGCTCCAAAAACGCACAAAACATGCTTTTATACCCGCTTCTGGAAGTTACTCGGGTGTGTGGGAGCGCCGCTTTTGAGGAAGGAAGAGAAGCACGCAGATTGGGGAAGAAGAGAGAGCAATAGAAATGGATAGGGTGGGAGGTGAATTAATTACAAACAAATAGAGAGAAGAGAAATTTGAGTACCACAGAAAACTTTAAATTTTGAGTAAAACTAAAAAATTGAAAACTTCAATTTTCCTCCTCCAAAACAGAAGTGAAAGTCTGGGAGGCAAAGTAAAAAAATTTCAGTTTTGAGTGGGTTCCCGGAAAACTGACTTAAAAAATCATAAATTTCAGTCTAACACAAGCAAATCTGACGAAAATGTCTTTATCAAAGCCGAAACCACTATATTATGACGAACATGCCCTTTTGTTAGCTCGTCGGGGAATTATTGTTATCTATTGTGACAAAATACTTTGTCATTTAAACAATTCTGGATGGTGGCGAGGGATGAGGCTCTGCAACAGCTGAGGAAGAATTTGGCAGCGTCGAATAACTGGATGAAGCAGCTGGCTGTCTTTAGGCGGCGAAAGGGGGAGTTTGCGGTGGGTGACTGAGTGCTATACTCATGCTACATCCATATCGACAGACTTTTGTGTTCATGAGAGCTTATTAGAAGCCCGCGGCTTGTTCCTTGAGTCGTACCAGGTGGTGGAGTGGGTTGGTATAGGTTGCAGCTACTAGCGACATCACGTATTCACCCTACATTTTCATGTCTCATTGTTGTGCCTGTATCGAGGAGTTGAGACACCAGAGGTACCGCCGAGTCCGCCGGTGAACAAGGATTGAGGGTTTGAGTTAACGCCACTGGAGGTTCTCGACACTAGGTGGGTGCATCAGGGTGGAAGGTTAGTGGAGGAGAGCCTGATTTGTTGGCAACACGTGGAGGTCGATGATGCCACTTGGGAAGACACGAAAACCATTTGTCATAACTACCCGACATTCGACCTTGAGGGCAAGGTTGGTCTTTGAGAGTGGAGGATTATTACAAACCCAT